ATGGGGTGCTGGACACTAGGGAAACAGACTGTAAGACCTGTGAGCGGGTCCCCACAGCCAGCGCCCCTGGGACAAAGAAAAGCGAGTGCTTTTTGAAAGTCTTAAAGGGACAGGGAACCCACAGCTGAACGGAAGTGTCCTGGGACACTTATCCCAGTAGATGGGAATCCCGGGGAACTCCAGCGCCCTAACCCCCTGGGCAGCAGTGCAGCTCGGAGGACCCTCACGGAGATAAACAGCCCCCAGGCCTATTCCCCTCTGATGCGGCTCCGCCACATTGAAGCAGCAGCCCAACGCAGGTCACACCCACAGCAAACTTGGAGCTAAACCTCACAGCAGCCAGGCAAGAATCAGAAGCCCTGTCTGCGTGCAGCTGCCCAGCACAAGCTGCTAGAGGTCGCTGTTCTCCCAGGAGAGGAAGGCCCCAAACCAACAAGAAGGGACGTTCTCCCAGCCGTCACTCGCGCCAGCTCCGCAAACTATCTCAATCGCCATGAAAAGGCAGAATTTGAGACAGACCAAAATCACAGAGACAAGCCCTGAGAGGCAGACAGACCTAACCAGTCTTCCTGAAAAAGAATTCAAAATAAAACTCATAACCATGCTAATGGAGCTGCAGAGAAATATATAAAAGCTAAGGGATGACATCTGGAGGGAGATTACAGAAATGAAACAAACTCTGGAAGGATTTATAAGCAGAATGGGTAAAATGCAAGAGGCCATTGACAGAACAGAAACCAGAGAACAGGAACGCATAGAAGCTGATGCAGAGAGATAAAAGGATCTCCAGGAATGAAATAATATTAAGAGAACTGTGTGACCAATCCAAAAGGAACAATATCTGCATTATAGGGGTAGCAGAAGAAGAGAGAAAAAAAGAGACAGAAAGTGTCTTTGAAGAAATAATTGCTGAAAACTTCCCCAAACTGGGGGAGGAAATAATCGATCAGACCACGGAAGTACACAGAACTCCCAACAGAAGGGACCCAAGGAGGACAACACCAAGACACATAATAATTAAAATGGCAAAGATCAAGGATAGGACAGAGTATTAAAGGCAGCCAGAGAGAGAAAAAAGGTCAACTACAAAGGAAAATCCATCAGGCTATCATCAGACTTCTCAACAGAAACCTTACAGGCCAGAAGAGAATGGCATGACATATTTAATGCAATGAAACAGAAGGGCCTTGAACCAAGGATACTGTATCCAGCACGATTATCATTTAAATAGGAAGGAGGGATTAAAC